AGGGAATTGTTGCCACGCATGAATAATGCAGCACCAGGTATCCTTTATTTGCTTTGCTTCTCAAACCTGCTTTCAAGTTGAGAGGAGCTGCTGAGAAGCCACGGGGCTCTGTTTCCTCTGCAGATGGGGCTGAGACAAGCGCCTGTGTAACCCAGTTACTGTTGAGCAACTGCTTCCTCTGCAATGAGAAAGCCAGGGCTGCCCCCGTTGGGCAAACCAAACCCACCTCTGCTGTGCTGGCTGCTCAGTGGGATGGCCAAGAATTCCCCCTCCCGTCATTCCTGGAATGCCGCTTCCGTGCCTGCTGCAAACAAGTGACACATTATCCCGTGCCATGGGTCTGCTGATGTTATACACTGGGTTTGGGGGGAGAATGGGGCAGACTGCCGTAGCTCTTTGGCAGGCACGCAGGGCACAGCTACTCAATCCACCTGCAGGTACCTCCTGGGTAGGAAGAGAAGATTCCATCCCTTTAGCCAGCTCCCTGGAGTATTTCCATCCTGCTTTTACATGGATTTGCTTCCACCTCTACCCAACCCTCCTGATAACCAGCCTCCCGTCTCACTGCTTCCTGCAGGGTCCAATTCTTACCATTAAATATCACCAATAAGCCCCAAATATCCAGACATGATGAGGTTTTGATGTGGGTTTAATCCGTTCTAATGCACAGTGGCACATTGCACTGGGTGGGAAGGAGTTACTACAGCTTTCCTGCTCCTCAGTTAGCTCTCCTCTGCCATCAGCTCTGGTTCCTTGTGGTCCACAGCCTGAAAGAGCTTTGCCTCCCCCTCTGACACTTGCACACTGGTGGCTTTGGTGTTCCTATAGGGAAAGATAAAGAACACGGAGATTCAGTGAGGTTTGGGAGGGGGGAATGGGGCCAGCAGGGCTCAGCAGAGCCTTAAGCAGCAATACAGGACAATAAATCATCTTATTCATCCCTAAGGGCACACCCTGATCAATCCCAGCAACCACAAATCAAAGCGTGGGCAGGGAGCTCTGTTACTGTGACACAAAGAGGGGCAGAGCCGGACCTGATCCGTAGGGAAGTTGGGAATCGTGCAGGGAACGAGGATTTGCTCAAGGACAGCGGCGCTTTGGCACCTCGGAGTGACAACAGCAGGGTCTGCCCTAACTCAACCCATGGCCCACGAGGACTGGGTGATGGGCAGCACTTTGCTTCCAACAGCTCGCAAGGAAATGCTTGTATCAGAGCTAGCTACTAGTAACCATGGGGAGCAACGAGCCTGAAGAAGGATCCAGGTGATGAAACCAAGCCCAGACCTCAGCTGGAGACGGGCAGGTTGGGATGCTGAAGGAAGTGTTGGGGGAATTAGCATTGCTATTACAGTTTGCAGAGTGCTCCCTCCTTTTCCCAGGAGCTAAAGGGGGAAATGGAAGCACGCTTTGCATAGACTCATAGGATGGTTTGGGTTGGAAGGGACCTTAAGATCATCCAGTTCTAACCACGGGCAGGAATGCTTCCATTGCTCACGCAACCCCTGCATGTATTAGGAAGGGCTGTTTTATATTCCCCAGAGAGGCTTAATCCCAAGGTTTCATCCCTCTGAGATGTTCAGAGCTTCTGTTCTGTTTCTATCTAAGCAATGAAATCATTTTCCCCATGTAACCCAGAGCGTAAAGAGGGCAGCGAACACCATCACCATCACTGCTGGCAGACAATAACCTTCGGGTAAAGGAAAAGCTAAACCATCACAGCACGAGAACCATCTGATTCCCATCCCACTTAAATCCTTCCTATAGCAACTAAGGAAAAACTACAGCTTTACTCAGGAGCTTGTTACAAACAGCACAAACCAAACCCAAACGGTGCCACTTATGGATGCTTTGAAGGAGGGTGTCAGGCCAGAAGCTTCTCTGGAGAGGAAAGTCTTCCCTTTTCTCTATCATGAGATGCAGGGGGACACTTCCCTTTCCCTTGGAAACGCTTGGCAGTAACAGGGAATGCCATGAGATGTCAGTGTGCTCCCGCCTGTAGGACAGAGCTTGGTTTGCTCTGGGATAGCAAAACCCAGCAGCTTCCTTCAGTGCAGCTTCTGGGGGTCTCAGAGTGTGATCAGTTGCCCAGAAGGATGCTAAATGTGGGCCACAACCACCCCATGGAACGCTCCAGGCTTGGGGAATTGCTGCTGGGAACGGCTCATGGGGAAGGAGCTGGGGGTGCTGAGTGATGGAGCTGAACACGAGCAGCTTGTGCCCAGGCAGCGCCCAGCATCCTGGCCTGGATCAGCACCAGTGCGGCAGCAGGGCCAGGGCAGGGATTGTGCCCCTGGTGAGGCCCCACCTCGAATCCTGTGCTCAGCTCTGGGCCCCTCACTACAACAGAGACATTGAGGTGTGGAGCGGGGCCAGAGAAGGGCAATGGAGCTGGAGCAGGGCCTGGAGCACAGGGGTGATGGGGAACGGCTGAGGGACCTGGGGGGCTTGGTCTCTGCTCCCAAGGAACAAGGGATGGGACAAGAGGAAACGGCCTCAAGCTGCACCAGGGCAGGTTTAGATGGAGCTGAGGAACAATTCCTGCCCCAAAGGATGCTCAGGCATTGGAACAGGCTGCCCAGGGCAGGGCTGCAGTCACCGTCCCTGCAAGTGTTCACACACCCTCGGTGCCATGGGTCAGTGGTGGCCTTGGCAGGGCTGGGAATGGTTGGAGTTGATCTTAAAGCTCTTTTCCAAGCTGGTTGATTCCATGATTCAGTGAGCAGAGCTCCCAGGGCACCTGGAAGCCAAGAAAGAAAGAGAAGGTCTTTGCAGGGAGGAAGGGCAGCTCTGAGTGGGCTCCAACACAACAAGGGCAGTGCTCATGGCAGTGAAACATGGCAGGAATCAGATGGGGTCATAAGAACCACAACTGGACACTGAGTTCCTAACGCTGGCACACTGCAAAAGTCACTGCCTGGTTTTGCCATGGGCCATAATCCTGCGGGATGCTGAGTGCCTCCTCAAGGGCACTGTAAGCTTTGCTGCCAAGGCTGTTATAGAACCTTGGTCATCCCCAAGCACTTGGCAAGGCCATAGACATGTGTTAAACCAAAGCAGGGATCTCCCAGCACACCATTAGGAGCTCCTCACCAAACAACAGCGTTAGGCTGAAGGTGCCAGCCAGAACCTCTCCACTTCTTGACTGCAGGAGCTGGAGCCAGCAACACTGCTCAAACCTAGCCCTGAAAGTCAGTGCTAACTGACTGCCCTATAGATCCAATGAATGCTGCACTGTGCCTTTGGGGCAGGGGCGTTTTGTAGCCTAGAGAGTGCAAATCCCCCTGCATTGCCATAACAGAGAAAGGCTTCATTTCTGCCTCTGTTATTGGGGATGCAGAGGAGCAAACCATCACAGGAGTCGCTTTGGCTGCTGCAGCACTGGAACAAAGCATCCTGCTGCTCCCCTGGTGCAAAGCTCCCTGTGTCTGCCAGGGCTTCAGTGACACTGGCGTGGAAGCTGGCAACGGAGGGAGCTGTCTTCACACACAGAGCATGGAAAGCTGCTGTCTCCTGAAGGGATGCGCTCACGCTGCTCCTTCCACCCACTGCTTGGTGTTATCCCATTCATGGGAGCGAGGAGTATCCGAACACGCAGAGCTCTGAGAAACGCTACCAGCACCACCTACACCTGGCTGCAAACGTCAACAGGAATCAAGAAGTTCATTTCCTATGCAAGCAAAGGCTTCAAAGCGAGCCCCCCTCCTGGTTTAAATCAAAGGGAACTGCTGCTGCTGACTGCATGAGGCTCTGGAAAGACACAGCTGGGAGAAACAAAGGGATGCAAATTTCCCTCGGCATCCAGCCCTCTTTCATTAGGTGGCTTGAATCTGACAACCCTCCCTCCCCAATGCCTGCATCCTCATTTACTTCAAGTGGAGATGGCTCCGTGCGATTGCCAGCCTTCACCTGGGACTCAGCCTGGTGCTGGGGATGCTGGTGTGTTTGGGCAGGGCTGCCAAACCCTCAGGTTTTGGCTTCTGCTGGGGTAAGGGAAAGCTGCTTTCCAATGCCAGGGTTTGCATTTAGTATTTGAGCTACTGTAGGGATTCAACACCGGAAAAAATCAGGAAAATGGAGCTTTTAAACACTCTTTGAGTTCACAGAATCATGGAATCAACCAGGCTGGAAAAGACCTTTGAGATCCTCAAGTCCAACCTTTATCCCAGGACCAGATTTCTACCCATTTTCTGCGATGGGATGATGATGCAGTGATAGCAGAGGCTGTCGCCACACAGGTGTCCTCCTGCTGCTTTTGGAAGACGAAAGACCTCTGAAAAGCATCATCTCAGACCACCTTGACAAGGGTCTCGCTGCCATTCCCCAGCATTGCTCACCTCCAACCCAGGACACGCAACAGCACTGCCCTGGTTTCAGCTTGAGCTGGTAACTCTGCTAATTCAACCCTGCTTCCAGAGCCTGAGGGATGCTTCAGAGCCTGCAGCATCCCCTCACCCCCCTGCGATAATGGGCCTGCAGCCCTTCTGCTCCTCTCTGATGTGTCCTGCTCCCTTTGATGTGGCTGAGCGAGCCCTGATAGGGACTCGCAGCCTCTGGCTGCTCGTGCTGGGAAAATTAAACTCCCCAGATCCCGAGGACACACAGCATGGACAAACGTGTGGAAAACGGGAGCTGACAAGGTTATACAGGTTGTTCCTTAAAGGCAGCTTCAGCCTGGATTGCTGGCGAAGGAGCGTGCCCGAGATTCCTGTTTTACTGAGGGGGATTTCAGCATCTGCCGAAACCCCAAAGCCCTTCTCAATTTATGGACCAAATCCGATGCTTCACGGGCATAACCCAGTTTTCTTTTTACCTTCTTTTCTACTTCTATCTCTTGTAAATCTATCACTGTCCCTTAATGGGGACGTCTGTTGCTTATGGACCTTTCCTGCTCATTCCACCAACATAGATCCCAATATCAGCAGAGCTGGAGCATCCTGAAGTCCTGGTTCCTTCAGCTCCATCCTGGCTGAGCCTCTGAGCTCTGCAGGGATAAAAGCAGCTTTTCAGAGCCTCGATGGGTAGGAAGTCAAAACCCATGCAACTCGCTTTAAAGAAACCCAATTCCATTTGATTGTGGGGAAAAGTGGGAATTGCAATGGGGCTCACATTGCCTGCCTCGTGTGGACCTCAGTGTGGGGATGGGGAAGGGCTTAATCCTACAGCTATGAGGCCCAGCTGAGCTGTTCCAATGGAGCTGGTATCAGTTTGTCTCTGGAGCTCCAGAGAATTAATCCTTCCAAGTATTCCTGTATGCAGACGACTTCTTTTGTTGGAGATTTGTGGGAGAAATCCTGTTCTAAAGCAGCTTTTCAGGATGTTATCAAAAAGAGCCTTTAAAGCCACTGTCATTTAATTAACTTTTAGGGGTTTTCTATCTGTTATTTGGCAAAAGAGGTTGATTTTTTACTTTAATGAGAACTGGAGGAGTGTTTCTGGTAGAAGTGTGAAACAGATGCAGAAAGTTCCCCAAGTTGGGGTATTTTTGTCACAGCAGGAGCCTAACATGAATAGGCAAAAGCTGTCAGAAAAGGGACTAATAAACTGTACCCTTTTCCCAACCCATTCCCTTTACTGGGCCAAATCATGGTGTTCATCCCTGATTCTGTAGGATGTGGGGAACTACAGCATGTGCCTAAGAAAGGAAGGATGAAGGCATGGGAAAAGGGTCCATGGAGCTAACAGGGCACACAGGAGAAGGGGAGAGAGGATGCGCTTTGGGATGGGACTTACAATGAACCCCCAGTGATGCTCCATGGGGTGGAGTTATTAAATCATTTCCATACCAGATGTTGGTGATACAAAACCAATCTCCCCTTTGTGTGGGCAACGTGCTCTTCCTGTACCCCAGCACACCTCTGCTGGGAACGTGCTCTGTGGATCAGGAGCCTGTCTAAACACTAAAGCTGCTCAGGTAAATACCAGCGGATGCTCTGTCCTGTTGGCAAATAAAAGCCTCTATTTCACACCAGTGTGGCAAGGAGGAACGATGTTTGAACAGTTACACTGCCTTCCCCTGGAAAAGAAATAACAAATACAAATGGTACAGTGAACCCCTGGGGAAACGCTCCTGCTGAGCCGCTGCATCCCCAGATGAGCATCACCTCCGAGCTGAGCCATGGGGAGCCAGGGCCTACAGGAAACCTGGAGAGGGGCTTTGGGCAAGGGATGGAGGGACAGGACGAGGGGTGGTACAGGGTCCCTTGGGGCAGAGGCCTTGAGAGCCTCTAAATCTCCTCCTGCCTGCTCAAGGTTACCTGTTGCAGGATGAGGCTCTTCCCAAGGCTCAGGACCGCTGCTGGGCTGCAAAGCCATAGCCACGGAGGGTGAAGGACACGGAGCCTGAGCAATCCTCACCCCTTTTCCCCATGGCTGCTGCCAACTCTGCTCCTTCCATGTGTTTGATAAGCACTAGAGGGCTGCAGAGAACTGCTTTTGCAGCTGCAGGCACTGACACTCAAGCAGGCTCTGCTCCCTGAAGGGAAACAGACAAGAAGGACGTGGGGATGCGATGGTTTGGTTTTCCTTACCTGGAAAGAGGAGACCGGGGTGTTGAGATGCAGGCAGTCACCAAGCAGTGCCGATGGTGGCTCACATCTGGCAGGGAAACAAGAGATGGGGATTCTGCTGTTAAATCACAGAACAGTTCAGGTTTGTCCCCATCCAACCCCTCTGCTCAGAGCGGGATCCCTTCAGTGCCGTGTCCTGTTGGGTTTTGAGCATCACCAAGGACAGACACACCACAAACTCTCTGGACAACCCCTTCCAGCGTTGAAGAGAGCTGTTTTCCTAAACAGCTCGCATGTTTAGGAAAGAAAAACCACAAGGAAAAGCTTTTCTCTGGGTGTAAATGGAGGCCCTGCATTTCAGTTTGTGCCCATTGCCTCTTGTCCTTTTGTGATCATCCCTGAGTCTGGCTCTGTCCTCTGGCTGTGGCAACAGCAGTGCTTTGATTACAAGGCAACTATGCTACAGGATAACGCTCTATTGACTTAAAACAGAAAACCAAGACAAGCTTGATGTACCAAGTTCAAACAGGGAGGCTGGTATCGAAAGGACCTGACTGTAAGAGGGACATTGACCCTCACTATCCCAGGCACTTGTCCTCTCTGATGCCTTCTTCCAGTTTCCAGCCTTCATTTATTCTGCAGCCACCCAGCTCCCTCCTCCCACTGCAGCCCCTCTGGTCCCTGGCAGGGCTCTTGTGTTATCCTCTGATCCATGCACTGGCTTTTCCCTTTGCAGCTCCTCCCTGAGCACACAGACAGCAAACCCAGCTTGTGTACAGCGCAATTACATCCTTATCCCCTTTTAACACCTTCCTAAGGGCACTCCTCTGGGCTTCTGCTTTCTCCTGGGTTTGGTTTTTATTACCAGGAAGCTTTGTTGGGTTCCCCATGACTGGTTTAGTGCCTGAAGTCATCAATACAAGTATAAAGCCAAACAAAGCTTGGCTTTGATGGTCCTCAGCATCACTTACTGCGAGCTGCTCCCCTCAAACCCACACAACCAAAATGCTGCTTGGGAGACGGGACCTCTTTCCTTCCCAATGCTTTGGGAGTAGGATCAAGTGCAGGTAGACCACAAAGGCTGACTGGTAGGGAAGGAGCCTGTTTCATCCCAGCTGAGCATCCTAAAAACCCAGGCAGGAGAAGCACCTGGCTTCTTTCTGCTATTCTTTCTTTTCCTGTTGTTTTGCAGCCACCCTTACACCTGAATACTTGAAAACCTGGCCTTGAAAGCTTCGGATAGAAACCCCTGCATGTACAGAACTGCTTTTCCTTAGTTAAAAGTGTAATTAGACAGGCACAGCAGGACAGAATGTACAGTGTAATTATGCAAACATAAGTCACCGAGGCCAGCGTCTGCTCTTCAGTCAAGACAGGCAACATCTCTCCCTGCAATAACCTCAAGTAACAGAGGCTGATGAATAATACAAGTTTCCTATATTTGCTTTAGGGTGCAATTCACCCATCTGCAGAGGGTCAGCTCAAGAGCTGTGTTCTAGAGAAGTCTTATTTAATACCTATAAATAAGGCATAAGTGATGTGTGGCCTTGCACTGTCCCTTTACACAGGGGTGAAGTATAGCCTTATGAAACCTTGGTCTCAGCATGTCCCTTCGCCTCGAGATCCTGTTCAAAACCAAGTGGGTAATAACCTATTGCATTTCTCTCTCTGCTGTCACTGTGTTTTCAGTAAGTCAGTTCACACTGGGCTGTTGGCAACCAACTTTATCTATGCAATAAAACCCCCCATAAATCTCTGCACTTCACTCCAAACTCAAATATTAGAGCATTATAATCAATAATTGATAAATTGATGCTACAGAGAAACATTCTAATTCCCTGATACCCATTTCCCTGTTTTCTTCCTCTAGGAGAAAGCAGAAACACATGGTCATTTCCTGGCTGTTGACTCTGATTGCCAGTTTTGCTTGTTTCTCCTCTTTCTTGTCAGTTCATTTCTCCGCTGAGGGGATGGCAAAGGGAAAAAGTATGAAAAGAAGGGGAAAAAGCCACGGTAATGGGGAAAAAGTACAACTGAAAGCCAAGAAAAAGGGGCAGTTTTAATCACCAGTCCTTGCAGGTTGCCTTATTTTTATAGTAAGAAACCAGAATACCTCTACAGAGACAAATTGCTGCTTCCACCGGAAAACAGCCTCCTGGCAAAGTATTTACCAGCAATCAGGGCTTGCAACACGCTAAAGCTTGTGATGGAGGCTGGAACAAGGGCTTTTAGACTGCTCACCAGAGCCTGCTCTCCTGGAAGTGGCCACATTCAAGCTTTGGGTGCTCCAGCCCCTTCCCTTTAACAGCCTTTTTCTTGGCAAAACTAATGTAAAGCATCCTTTCTTCCCTCCCTTTGCCACCAGATGGCACGTACACACCATGGAAGGGGCGGTGGGTCAGGGAGGGACAGCCTGGTCCTAGATGGGGCGAGACCCCCCCTGGGCAATGCCTTGGAGAGGTTGGTGCTGGAATGAAGCTTGTGCCTCTGCAGCGGGAAGAGGCTTGAAGGGAAGTTTCTGTTCATACCAAGTGACCACGAGTCCCTTGGAATCAGGATAGATTCCCTGTGATCAACATGATAACAGGAGAGGGGTTTCCACTCAGGTTGATAATTTGACCATCACACACCAAAGATGTTTTCCCTCTATCCCAGTGTGAAGCGTTCTTACTCCCTGCAGAGACTGAGGGCTTGGAGTGGATGCAAACAGCCCCAATTCCCAGCAAATCTGAGGCAGGTCCATGAGAAACATCCCTGAGCCCGTGCTGTTCTCTAGTTTAAACTCACATTTACCTGATGCTGTGCAGTTTCCAAGGGAGGGAAGCCACTGTGTACACGACCTGGGCACAAGGAAGGGTGTGAGGATGGTGTCAAAGCTCTGCTGCTGCCTTTTGCTGTGAAGGGATGCAGAAGGATGTGCAGGGAGAAGCAGGGCTGGCATTCCCATCTCTGCTCACTGCTGAACAGCAAGAAAAGGTCAAGATATCCAGCAGTCAGCATCCTATCACAGTCTGGGGTTTGCTTACTGGAAATGCTCCCTTTCAGCATCTTTCTTTTGTGCCTGTCATACACTAAATGCAAACTCCAGCATTTCTGGAGATCTTTAATTACTTTTCTTTGTCTCATTTATGTTGATTATGGGGTTTTTTGTTGGGTAAGAAAGCAGGGGAGTGCCTCACACTGACAGCAACTCACTGTTGGATTGGCACCGCTTCCCAGAACTGCTTCTTCTTCTCCCAGTGCTAAAGATGCTGTCCTGAAACAATACAAGGCTCCTCCAGAAATATCCCTTTGCTTTCTCTGTTGCAGGCCACACACTGACAGGGGGAGCTCTTCTGATGCTCATTGCCCTCAGTGTTTATGGCTCGGCTCCAAGGTCGTTCTGCTCTTCCTACTATGAGGAAGACTCAGCTCTGGCCTTCCTCGAGCGATGCTTGTTGAAGGGTCCCATAAAGGGGCTTCAGCATCTTCTCCCAGGGGGATTTTCCTAAAGCAATAATGCAACTCCCCTAATTGCAAATTAAGCCGAGGCTGTCATTGCCTCACTGGCTACGGAGCACATCTATGGAGCTTTGCAATACATGGGAGTCTTCCCACTGCCTGCTCCTGCCTGTTACCTCCCGCATGATTCCTCATCTGAGGAAGTGTTTCCAAACACGTTGTGACCCCGAGTCTGCATAAGGGATAGCAACCCTCATGTCTTACATACAGCATGATGCTTAACACCTTCCTGCATTTGCTTCCCTGTTACTTGCTTTGGTAGTGTACAAGCATCATGGTGTTGGCTTATCCTACCGGCTGCGCTGTTACCCCCTAAGCCCTTTCTGCATTGACACTGCACAGCCAGGTATTGCCCCCATTTCTCCACTCACCTGTCTTTATCCTCTCAACTCCAGGCCATTATTCCCATGAAGAGGATCTGCTGGAATCACCATCCTCTCCTCCAAAGGCCTGTGGTGCTCCCCCTTCTCCCAGCAGCAACACTTCCCATGGGACACGCTCTCCAGTCCCCCTGCTTAAGGAGACACAAACACAAATCCCATTGCTTGGGGCATTCATCCTCTCCCAGCCTTCCCAACCTTCTTCCATGTCACTGCAGCTCCTTCCATGCCACACCATGTGTCACCCAGTGGGAAAGGAGCTGGACCATAGGAGGGATATACCTCTTCCCTGCCAACACCAGCCACGGGGGACTCCATTTGCTGAACCCATTTCTCCCCTCCCTGACCCACGAGCCTGGTTTTTACGTCCTGTGGTAGATGCTACGCCTTGAACAGACCCACCCATGAATACAAACTCAAGCTGCCACTCTGCCCTGCTCCTTTTAAAGAGAGATTGCTTAGAGCAGCAAGAAGGATGCCTGATCTTGGGACTCCAGGAATGTCTGTGCGAGTCAGGGAGGCCGGGGTCCCTGCAGCTTCTGCTCATGAATAATGAATCTGATGTTGCAGCCATGCAAATGCAACCTAATGCTCCACGTGAAATAAACCCCTTGTTTGTGATGGCAGGGATTCACTGGTCTCCTTCTCCAGCACTCACTTGCATTTTGGGGATGGAACTGATTTATTTGAGGAGGTGGAAGTGGGCAACAGGATGCCCTTATGGATCCCGGAGCTAAGAGCCATTTGTGCAGCCCATACCCAGGAGACAGGATCCAGGGGTTGGATACACACAGGGAGCTGCTTCTTTCCAAGCTTTCCTGGCCTTCTACAGGAATGACTGAGAAATCACCAGCCCTAGGGAATTTTCCCTGCCATCAGGTTATTGTACGGCTATCACGGAGTTGTGTAGGTTGGGAAACACCTTTAAGATCACTGAGTCCAATGTTAACCCAGCACTGCCAAAGCCACCACTAAACCATGCACTAAGCGCCTGTACCAATCAGATGCAACTCAAAGACAATGATTTGGGAATAGGTTGCCCAAAGAAGTGGTAAATCCTCCATCTATAGCAGTGTTCAAGGCCAGCTTGAACAGAGCCTTAGGGGACATGGTCTAGTGTGAGACATCCCTGCTCACGGCAGGGGGTTGGAACTGGATGATCTTAAGGTCCTTTCCAACCCAAAACCTTCTATGATTAAAACCAAGGATGCTCAACTCAAGACCAGGAGAGCCTGGCCTTCACCCATCTCTAGCTCTTTCTTGCCTTCACCAAATGCATCCCGCAAAGGAATTTGAACCCCAAAGCTGCAGATGTTATTTCTCTCCCTGTGTAACCTTTACAGCCCTGTTGAACAGTGTTTTACAGAGCTATTGCTTGACGAGAAGTCACACAGAGGTTTTCGTACCTCTGTCTCTTGTCAGGAAGACGCTGGAGTGAATTCCCCTTGGACACCTCAGTGAAATCCTGCTCATCCTTGCTGTTTTCTCCACTCAGAGCATGGGCAAGCACTGTGCCACGTTATTGATACAGCCAGATCAGCTTTCACCTTCTCTTTCCTTCTTCTTTTAGCACCTGTACGTGCCTGGCTTCGGGTGTGTTTGGTGCCTTTCCATTTCAACCAGTAACACAACCTGCCACCAAGGCATTTGCGTTGGGACAACTGGGTCTAGGTCAGTGGGTTGGCTGTTTTCCTGCAGAGATAAACCATGCTGGCTGGTGCTTGCCATGATAAGCAGCTCTCATGGGCAATAAGAGCAGAGAGAGGGAGCAGGTCTGTATGCTGGATACTGGTCATTTGAGTGGGACAAAGCCTCTGTGCTATAGTCCCAATGCGCCCTGTTGGAGCTCATGCTCCAGTTCCCATGTCTTGGCCCAGCATCTCACCCATGGTGGGTGCAAGTTTAAATCAATCATTGTGAAAGGGAGTTTATAGCTGGGAAACCACCAAGCAATTGAGTTTGGTTTCTTTTTCCTGCCTTCCCTCCGGAGCTGCCCAAGAATGGAGCTGGCAGATGCCCCATGGGAGACAGGAACAGGTTGGACTGTGTCCCAGTGCCAGAGCTCTCACGATGAACAGCCAGTGATCTTCCTTCCCTTCACCTGATAGAAATGATGCCGAGCAATTGCTGCAATTGAGTGTGATGGACTGCCTGATGTGATGCTGTCCGTGCTGGAAGGCAGCTCCCTACCCTCTCCTCCCAGGGCCATTGCATTAGGTGGGACCTCATCTCACAGCTTCTTCCCTGAACCCTTGCTTGGAACCCGGCTGCAGCTCTTTGTGGCTCAGTACAAGACCAGGAGGAAGATCTACTCATTCCATAAGAAGCTGTCAATCCCAAATTCCACTGAGCTCTGGGAAAGCCTGGAGAGAGCACCCACGCTGTGCTTGTAACTGCCCCAGCTCCTCTGCCATAGGGGATCTGCGATGCACAAGGTGGAATGCAGTAATTCATGTCCTGGAAGGATGCTCTCATCAAGGCCGAGGTGTTAGTCCAGGAAAAACTGAAAAGGGGAGCAAGAATTCCCTCAAAGTGGAATTTGCCCTCACTTTCTGGGAAATGGAGAGGAGCACAAAAAAGGGCAAGGGCTGACAGCAGGAGGATTGAGGCTGCTGAAATCAGAGGTGCAAGAGGCTGGGTCCATGCAGGAGATGCTTAAAGGTGGTTTGGGGAGCCCTCGCCTCCCAGCTATATGTGATTTGCTATTGGGTTGTCTCCGTTACATCCACAGGGATGGGATGGCCTCAGCTGGTCTGCCCATGTTTGAACTGGGCAGGGAATTGGAACTGGATGAGCTTTGAGATCCCTTCCAACACAAACCAGGCAGGGATTCTGTGATCTTGGCCTCACCGAGGGACTAAGAATTAGAGGAGAGAAGCAACGCAGTTAATGCAGGCATTAAGGTCATTATGGAAGGGATACCTCTAAGTCAATCTCTCATGTAATTAACAGTGCAGTTCTGTAGATGAGTGGAAACTACACATTGGAATGCTTGGATGACAGCCACGCTGGAGGGAAAGGACCGACTTTGTGTCTGATCTGAGATGAGCTCAGAGCAGCTTCCAGTATCTGAAGCCTATAGGGATGCTGGGGAGGGACTCTTCATTAGGGACTGTAGTGACAGGACAAGGGGTAACGGGTTAAAACTGAAACAGGGGAAGTTTAGATTGGATCTAAGGAAGAAATTCTTTACTGTAAGGGTGCTGAGGCACTGGAATGGGTTGCCCAGGGAGGTTGTGAATGCTCCATCCCTGGCAGTGTTCAAGGCCAGGTTGGACAGAGCCTTGGGTGAGATGGTTTAGTGTGAGGTGTCCCTGCCCATGGCAGGGGGATTGGAACTGGATGATCTTAAGGTCCCTTCCAACCCTATTCTATTCTGTTCTATGAGCTGCTTGTGGTGTGCCAAAAGCTTGGATAGAAAACTACCTGGAAGCCCAGTGCATTCTGGCACAACCTAAGGAGAGAGCAGTGAAGCACGGTGACAAAGGGAGGGGAAGGAGTCCACCCGAGACCATTGCCACTGCTCAGTTCATCACAGCATCCCAGACTGGGTTGGGTTGGAAGGGAGCTTAAAGCTCCTCCAGCTCCAACCCCTGCCACAGGCAGGGACCCCTTCCACTGGAGCAGCTTGCTCCAAGCCCCTGTGTCCAACCTGGCCTTGAGCACTGCCAGGGATGGGGCAGCCACAGCTTCTCTGGGCACCCTGTGCCAGCGCCTCAGCACCCTCACAGGGAAGAATTCTACCCTAATATTCATAGATAGCAATAACAGGAACAAATGAATACCAAAGCCCAGAAGCCAGAGGCTCGGTATGCAACAGACAAGTTAAAACCTTTCTATCCTTTCCCCTTTGCCTTAAGCCTGGTTCCTGATTCATTGGAAACACTGCTTGTGAGAAAACACACAAAGAGTGAGTCACAGCCCAAATATTTAGACATCTATGCCTTTATCTTGCAGAGAAACAAAAACAAGAAGGGAAAAAGCAGGCGCTTGCTTAGTGAGCCCTCCGCTCGCTCTTACACCAAGGGCTGATGTATTCTTGTGTCCTCTGTAACAACCACGAGACTGGATGATTTGGGATACAGCCCTCTAAAAGAAGGTCCTGAGGGTTTCTGCTGTGCACAAGGCAGAACAGCATAGAGGTGGGAGCAGCACCCCAGAACAAGGTCACACATCCCCAGCCCACTGGGTTTACCCATAGAAGAGAAAGAGGGATCCACACCCGTGCTACAACAGCATCCTCTGAGCCAAGCACAAAGGCTCCCTCGCCAGCACGCACCGTGTGCATCTTTGCCATTCCTGCCCTCCTCGTTTCCACTGCAGATCCCAGAGGAGCTCTGGAAACAAGGAGAGATGGGATGAGGAAAGCTCATAATTGCACGGCGCATCCCTCGGCGCCGGCACAACGATGCTTGCTGTGATGAGGAGCTCGGTGCATCCAGCCAGCAGCAACAGCCCTGCACTGAGACCAGTAATGAGGGGAGATGCTGCTTTTACACAAAACAAAGCCCTGCTTTAAATGACAGCAGCAGCGACGGTGCCCACAGCCTTACAAAGAACTCTGTCTACACATGGGACTCTACCAGCAACTCTCCTGCCTTCCCTCCACCTTTTGTTTGCCTTTTTCCCACTCCGGGTGTTTGGAAGCCAAGGGGACACGAGAAATCCTACAAAAGGGATCTTTTCATAGAGGCAAGTGAGAAAACAGCTACAAGCACCCAAATACAGACACAGGTCAAAGCAAGGTGTTAGTGACCGGCACACCGAGCTAAAGGGAATGGGTGCTGAGGAGGGAGATGCCTCTAACATCTCAATGATGAGCAGAGGGTTCTGGCTGGCTCTCCATTAAGTAAGATCCCAAAAAGCTGGGAAAATGGATGGATTTATCTCAAATGAGAACAGGGGGAGTTTTATTCCTTATTACCTTATTATTGCAGGAAATAAACCTGATCACCCTGCCAAAGGCCTTTCCCAGACCCTGGGGATGTGCATGCGGGATGCGGTCAGTGCCTCTTCCTACGGCTGCAGCTTCTCAGAGCACTGGTGGTGACTCCTTGGTGCTTTCCCCCTGCACGCACCGTCAGGATGAACACCCTTGTGAGCTCTGCCAGGCAAACTGCAGCCACTTCCATAG